GGGGGGGGAGGGCTACCTTTCTTTAGTAGAACCCTCTCAAGCAGAGAATTCTTATACCGGAGCATAAGGCATTCGTCGGCGGCGTTGCGGTGACTGTTTTGCAGATTCTGCAGCGTCTCTTCATGATGCTTGATGGTACTCTCGAGCTGCTTGATGTACTCTGTGCGGCGTTCACGAAAGGCGGCTTGCGCCTGTCTGTTGCGCTGCTTACGCTCTTCAGAGGTGGCATATATCTTACGGCGCTTGGTTAGTGCTATGTGCGACATGATACTGGACTCTACCAGTGCGGCAGCCGCCATGGCAGGCAGTGGGAGGGCTCACAGGTTTGCGGCCGCCTTTGCGCTTTTGCTGCTGGGGCTCTTCCTGGGGATAGGTCTCCGTAAGACCGGGTTCTGGCGACGATCCGATAGAGTCTGTCGACCCATCGCGCGAAGCCTCTGCCTTGCCCACTGGTGCCGTCATATCTGTTACGAGACTATCGCCCATGTGCGGCAGCCGTACCCCTCCGTCTTGATAGAGGGGCACGCGAACGCCAAGAGGTGCGATAGACGCGACAGAGACAAAGTCGATAATGGGCAGCAAGGAGGCTCTGGGAGGGTGGGATAAGCGCGCCTAGTTTGGGCAGCCGCAGCGCCGGGTCGGTGTATGGGAATGCGTGTGTATGGGGTTTTGATAATGGGCGATAAGAGAGTTGCAATCAAGGCCTGTGGGTGGTTGCGCAGAAGGTGTGAGGTAAGCTCTTGGGTAATGGAAACAGCGCAGAGAAAGAGCTCAACGGACGGAGGGGGGCGGCGGTGCAGCAGTTTGAAAAATAGCGGACGGGCCAGGTTCTTTTGCTTTGCCGAGCTGAGCAGAAGGAGTGGAGTACGTAGGTAGTAGTAGGTAGAGAGCGCAGAGAAGGGTGTGCAGAGTGCCAGTCACGGGTCACCAGAGCGGCGGCTTCTCAGCCTGCAGGGTCATCGCTCGAGGCTCGCCCGAAGACGAATTCCTTTCGGGCACGGGGGGGGGGAGGGCAGAGGAGGGGGAAAAGGAAAAGCAGCAAATGGCAGCCAGCCTTAGGCGCACTTTTGCGCACGCTGGTCCCTTTCCTTTTTTTTTGTTTTTCTTTTTTTTTGCGCGCAATAGACGGGCCAAGGTGGGAAGGGGGAAGAAGTGCGGAGACGCGGTTGGCCGAGGGAGCTGAGAAATTTCTTTCGCGGGGGTTGCGGGTGGGATGGGGGTGAGTGTTGGATGATGCAGTTGGCAGTTGGCAGTTGCTGTGTTGTGCTGCAGGGGAGACCGTACCATACCAAGACTACACGACTTGTGCACAGTTGCCAGTAGCTAGAGTACTACAGTAGGTTACTATTTGGAAGCTTTAGGTATGCCATCTGCCATGGTACTATGTGTGTAGGGGCTCTAAGATGGCTGGCCCTATTTCCAGTCCCTTCTTAGTAGAGTACATATGGAGGACATACATACACGGAGAGGGAGAGAGAGAGAGAGAGAGAGAGAGAGAGAGATTCCAAGCTTTCCATGGTGGTCGACGACGAACTGACGACGACGACGACGACGACCACGCCGAACAGGAAACAGGAGTGTTGCTGCTGCAGCCAATCACGGTTCACAATGCCGCATCCAGTATGGCGCCACCCTTAGCTCCCGCCCCGCTCAGAGCCTTTTGTACAGAGCATCTCCGGCATCTCCAGCTTTTCCGGCAAGCCGCCTGCACGGGGGTCCTGTTGTGCCAGCCATGCATTACTGGGCTACACAGGTGGGACATATTCCATAGATAGCCCATGTATACTGTGTAGCTACTGTAGAGAACCTACTACCAGTACTGCATCCAGTATGGCGAGCGACGTCTTTTGTCAAGAGGGCGTGGCTGCCCCCAGCTGTCCCGTTGCGCCCCGAGTCTCTTACCCCAACACGCAACACAGCAAAAGGCCGACGCACGCGCCCGAAGTCGGAGGAGCATGGCCCAGCCCACCGAGCTCACGCCCTGCACGCACAGTGATGAGGTGCAAGCACTTGCACCGACTAGAGTACACCCAGTCTGTAGTAGAGTAGTACTCTACACCCACTGCACCTCTCCTGCTGCTGTGCCAAATCAAAAGCACGCACGTTCGCTCTCCCACTGCCGCGGCAGCCCGTAAGGCTGACGGTGCGATTCGGATCTGATAAGCTCCCGAACCGCATCACACTGCAGCACAAAAGCCTGCCTTCCCTGCCTTCCCTGCCTTCCCCGCCTCGCCTCAGTCTGACATCCCCAGACAATGCTGGAGTAGTAGTAGGAGCCTCGTCGTCATCACCATCAAGGCTCACGATGCAACACACACACACACACACACACACACACACACCAAACCCCTGCAATACAGACTCGAGTCCTTCTCACCGTCTTGAGCACTACTCGGCTCTCTCCCAACTTTTCTTTCTTCACCCCACACGCCGTTACCGGATCCACTGGTGGACACGTTGCCAAAAGGGTGCGCGCATGCAGCACATGAGCATCTTTGCCTCGAAACGAGTCTTGTGCCAAGCCGCTTTTTCTCGGCTGAGCAAAGCAGCTGACCTGGCCCGGGCCTGCCACGGACGGTCGAGACTCTGCTCGAAGACACTGACTCTCTCCACAAATGCATCGTGAAGCTGCCCTGTGTGCTTTGGCTACCATGAATCTGAATCGTGGGAAGACGGATCAGTCGAGCGGGGTGCTCATGTCGTGGCCACCATGGGCTCCTACCTAGTGCCCTGCACACTCAACGGCCAGCTCACAGAGTTGCAATGTCAACTTGTCTGCCATCATCACATCTGCCTGCAAATCTCCTGCTGCCATCCCACCGTACCACCTCGTGCATGGTGGGGACCACAGTGCAGAAATGTAAATCATGGCTAGTTTGTGTATACTGCAACCACCCCCATGGCAAAAGAGAGGAATGCACAAAAGTAGTCAAGACTCATACATACATACATCGGGGCATGTCGAATGTGATGAGCTTCCAGCAGATCAATGATGAAGCTCCATGCTCGAACTGGCTGCCTCAAGGTCTACAGATGAGCAAGTCCGCCTCACCTCGCACACGGGGTACCGGTAGCTCCTTCCAAGTTCCGTCCTATCGTGAGCCAGACTGCCATCTGATCTCACCATCACGAAGAAGCACTCCCAGCACCCACAGTGAGCCCTCAAGCGACAGACCTCTCCCGCATACCAGGATATCAAGCATTGACATAGTCTCATATGACTTCCCCTCCTGTTTTCCAGCAGCATCAGATCCCCCATCAGTCGCTTGGTCAATAGTGGACCAACATTGATCAGCATTTAGACGATAGCCATCATCAGCTTCGTACTCGCCCTTGTTTCTCTTCACCAACTCGTGTTGTATACTTTCAACAGCACTCACAATCGCTGGCGGTAGGCAGCGATGACACTATCCCAGCTTGCGGGATGGCTGCTGAAAGGGCCAGGTCAATCAAACCCCCCGACCGATAACGTAAAACGATCGAGCATTGGCCCATCGCAGGAGCAGGCCAACGACTCCTCCTTTCTCTCACCGCTTGGGTCGGACGACAGCCGGAAAGCAGGGTGTGAAGGCATGGTCGGCAATACCCATGGCGAACCTAGAGGGCATTCCATCGCGTCATCGTGGGCGAAAACCCGACCTTTGTCAGACATACGCGAACTTACTGAGCCTAGCTTGGCTGATAACCTAGTACGGCGGCCTTATTACGAGAGCAACCAGCGCAGCACTTCTCGTACTGAGGTCTCGCGGAAAATATCCATTGCCTCGCGACGGCGCCGAAGTATGGATACCCGCCACGGGGAGAACATGGAACCAGAAAGGAGGAACAGCGTCGAGAGCAGCGATATGCGGTCTGTCCGTGGTGGACCAGCCTCTAGATCGCCCTCCCCACCTAGTGCCGCAGACAACAACAGCATCTCCAGTATATACAGCGTACCAGCTGGTAGTGTGCCGCCTCGATCATCATCGCGATCTCGGGCACGTGGTGCATCTCAACCACGACATCCACCACATCCACCACATATACCTCCAACACAATCCATACGACCACAAGCAGCAGCCACATCTGTCCATGCCATCATCCCCATCATCCCATTGCCCCCACCCAAAGACAGCGGAAACACGATACCTCGACGAGGCCACTCGCAATCCCCCTTACGTAATGTCGCCGCGCGACTTGATCCCATATCCCATGACATGCATCGACACATTCCCTCCAGAACATTTATTCGTGAGCCACTCTCCAAGGAGATTTTGGAATTCCCATCATACCGACATCCCAGGATAGATCTAGGCCTCGACTTATCAGCAGGCATATTCGTTGGTGGAGGTTCTATTGAAGGCACTGTGCAGATCAACATTGACGACGCAGAGCGGATACGTCATAGAAGGACTTTGGACATTGCCCGTATATCTATCGACCTACTCGGTTTAGAGGAAATGAGTGGGAATAGAAGATGTGTCTTCTTGAATCTAGCTTCGGAGCTGATCGATGAGAAGAACCCGCCACCACAGAACATGGTGGATAAGCAAGAACCCATAGGGTCAGATGACCTTTACTGGCACCTGATGCCCTCAGTCACCAATCTAGCCTTCAATCTTAGTCTGCCCCTGAATATTGGGCCCCCACCATTTCAATCGAAAAATGCGCGGATTCGGTATGTGCTCTGTGTATCGCTTTTGATACGCGATCACGGAAAGCAGTACATTGTCAGAACTTCCGAAGACGTTACCGTCTTGTCTGTTTACGATCGTTCGTAGTCCTTCTACACTGAATTGCTCTTTACTAATGACGGATCAGCCGAGAAGGCGCTCATGTCATTACCCAGCCCACTGACTGCTTCGGACGAATGGGTCAAGCCACGCGAAAATACCATTGAGATAGTTCGAGTCACCGCAGGTCTCCATCGACAGGTATGGGTCAGTGGGACGAGCATCTACGTCGATGTTCACATGGCCAATAACAGTCGCAAGACGATCAAGAAGATTGAACTTCAGTTGGAACGAAACATACTATGCTACAAACACGTTGGTCATGATTGGAGTGCCGACTGGCTGTTTGAGATGCTGATGTGGAATGTTTCTAGTCTGCTGCCTCGACTATGGAGAAGTCCGCTGGCCAGGCTCGCATATTTGACAACAATGAGCGCTCTACCTTGAGCAAGGCGACGGTCAAACATGGAGCGGCTGGTTGGCATGGTGTTACCGCTCACCAAACGCAGATACGCACTTGCAATCTCGAGTTACCTCGTGGACATGCTACAGTGAAGTGTGGTAAGATGCCCTCGCAGTGAGCGGACACATGTGTATCACTAATAAATCCAGGAAAGTACTTTGAAGTGCGGTACTTTCTCAATGTCATCGTCAGTAGTTTGCACACGTGAGTGCATGCACGTTGAGTTCATCGATAACGCTGACACCCACCAGAAAGCTGGTCACTGTTCAGCTCCCTATCGTTCTCATTCACATGGTCAGTCGAATATAGCTCTCGTCGTCTCCCTCTTACATGACCTAATTGGCAAGCAGAACTCGCTCGATGTCGTGCCAAACTCAGTTGCGCAAGTTGCAATGGCTATCGAAGAGAAGCGCTCACATCAGCGCAATCAATCACCTAACCGTCTCGGTCGTCAACCCTCGCAATCAGTTCAAGGTCGAGCCTTTGCAGCACCTCGCATGCAATCTCTTAAGCGAATGCGTGCCCGAGCCGAAGATATCCAAGAGTTAGGTCATGCCTTGGAGCAAAGCCCACGCAAATACAACTTGAGACGTGCAGTCTCCAATTGGGACTATCGAACACCGCCTTCAAATCGCAAGGGAAGGATAGTAGGCGATGGCGAAGCAGCGGACCTGAAGGACTGCCTGCGAAGAGTTCGCTCAAACGAGACCATTGGTTCGAGGCCTAGCAACATACACAGAGGCAACTCATCAAGGTCCACTCGGGGTCTCAGCTCTGCCCTTGGCTTCCGAGAAGCAGAAGTCCGCGAAGACATGGAGCTTGCGGGACTGGGCGTGGAGGGCGATGGACCTTTTAGGCAACGATTAGAGCGCAGCCGCGGCCGACAATATCGCTTTAGCAAGAAGAAGAGCGTTGAGCGATGGAAGGGTGTAGCGAATGCAGGAGTGGGTTGGTTGAAGAACAGTGGGGCGACGAAGGAGGACCAAGATCGAGAAACTTGGGTGTGAGCATGCATAATGGAAGCGTTGGTGAGGATGGCATGATAGCCCTGACTGTCTTGTTGGGTACCGACAATTTCCACTCATTCCTATTCAATAACATATATCCGACACTACATCTGCTTTGTTGGCGAGTCGACGGACTTCTTGCTTGTGATATTGAGCATGTCTCGTTTGTATTATATAAAATCCATGCGACAAATACTACAAACCCACCACGAGTCGTTTGTTCCCCCCTCAACATATTGCCCCAGGACTCTCGTTCGTCGCAGCATCCTCCATAGCAAAGCGATCCTGAATCCCCTTCCAACCCCTCAACACCACATCCGCCGACACCGTACCCTTACCCAACCTCCCCACCGCCTCCTCCACACTAACCAACTCACTCTCATACGCCTTCTCCTCCTCATTCACGCCCGTGCCCTCATGGTGCAGCGGCTCGTATCCCACCGGCTCCATGGTAATCCTCTCCCTCAGCGTCAAGCCCGGTGGATAGCGTGGCGGCGCCTTATACGGCGCCCCCGGTTCACCGGCCAACTCGGCTTCCACCGCAGGCGGCACCGTCTCGGCAATGTACCAGTACAAAATGTACTGCCAGGTTCGGATCGGGAGTAGTTGCATCCATACTGCGTCTGCGGTTAGAGGCGAGGCGTGTGTGCGGGGGTGGGCTGGGGGTTGGCGGTGGGGGATTGGGAGGGGGA